TCCATCATTGAGCACTCAAAGGTAATAGGTACAGGAAGTGATGAGACGTCAAACTTATTTTTCGATAATTCGTGACCTAATTCCTCTACTATTGCCTCATCCATCCCCTTAACAAGTTTGAGAGGAATTAAAGTTTAAAAAAAAAACTAACAGTCAGTCCATTCAAACGCTACAATCAAATACAACGTATCAAATGTTTCCACTATTGCATTCATACCATTCAAATAAAATGAAAGGAATAGTTCACCGCTTGTTCCACATAGTTATGAATGCTCATCTGTTATCAAATATATGTATTGTTTCCGTGCCTTTCGGGTACTGTAAGTATTTGCTTTGGTTTTCTCCTAATTTTTACATGGTTTCTATACTTTTCTCCTGTTTACCATTGATCGCTTGGCTTGTTGTATTCTGGGGACTTTTATAACGTTTTGCTATACTGTAAGTGTGAGCTTCTGTTCCATATCACTCGCACTACTATTACAAGGACTTCCATCTATTCAACATCAAAACTTTCTTCATTTTTGGATGTATTTTTTATTTGGTTTCATTCATTCGCCCACGTATAAAGCAAGAACGGAAAAAAAGGTTATGCGTACTGTGAAGTCGACAACATCAGGTGCAAGTTTGACAAATGTTCTAAGTTTGTTTGAGGGGTTTTGATGCATTACTTCAAAGGTTGATTCATTCTCTCCTCTCTGACGGCATTCGCATTTCCAAACGAACTGCTCTATAGCCTACGAATTTGTTGGCAGGACGTTCGCTACTACCCATTCAGGTTGGATTTAATAATTTTCTTTCAAAGTATTCTCTCTATATACGCTGCTATGACTGTTGATTCTTATATCTTTTTTAAATGCTTTTTCTTCAACTGAAAGATGAGACTCAAGGAAACGAACTGTATTCTAAATACTTCCATTTAAATACATGCTAATCCATCGTTATCCGGTTGAATTATCCTATTCATCATACCTTTTTAAATATATATAATTCCCTATCTATTATCTGCTTCCACATAACCTTACAGCACTTCCTAAAAAATCTACGTTTTTACTTTCCTTTGGTTTTTAGTGTTTTTCTTTTACCACGCGAGAACCGATTCTGTCAACGTGTATAATGCGTCTAAATGGGTTTTCCGTTTCCTATATTTCACTCCATTCAATAGCTCATTCGCCTGTTAATATCCACTCCTCAATAGTGTGCTTTGTTCTCTGTTATTTACCGTACTGTTGTCTTTTTATCTTGCATAAATGTTCCAGTAGTTAGAGTTAACCAAGAAAAAGAATCTATTTCTTTAATGTTTTTGTTTTCATTTTATTTTATCGTTTTTTTTTTTCTCTAATGAAGCGAAATAGCGGCAGTGATCACACGTTTATATTGTCCAAATATCGGCTGGGTATTTTACATTAGTGAGTTATTGCACTTAATTTGTTTTAGTGTATCTAATGTGTTGACTTGTGAATATGTTTTCTATTTCTTTTGAGAAAGAAGTGATGAGTACGTAGATCTGAGAATTTCAAACTATATGAGATAACAGAAAATTAGTTATCTTTCTCATTATTACAGTGGAAACGAACTTTTGTAAACTCAAGTAGTAGAAAAGCATTTGAAACCGTCAGTAATATCAGAAAATCTCGTGTAAGTAAATAAAATACACATAGAAAATCAGTTTCCTCCTTCTTTATGATTGGTCACAAAACAGTATTACACAGTAAGGAATACAAAAAAACCATAAGTGTTTTTGTATTCAGATTCAAACAATCCTGTTCCATGACAATTCATTTCATTGAATTTATGACCAATACCCTTCTATCGTTGCTTGCATGGCTCCAGAACTTTTCAACCTAAATGGTGTCACTTTTTTGAACTGAAAAAACTATTGCTGCATTTGGTGATGATTCTCAAGCAAATACTAACATATGCATGCAGACTGCGACTTAGCGGCCTAGTTAGGCACAATAAAAAATCAGTTATACGTCGAAAATATATATAACATTTAGTTTGACATTTCGTTGTCAAAATTGGTGATTATTTTCATTTCACACTGAAATCAAGACTTGAAAGCGTTCTTAGCGAAAGCGTTAAGTCCTTTTAAACTCGCGAGTTTGAATGCTGTGAAATAAACAATAACAAACTTTATACCCCGTTCACATTACAGCGTATATCACGTGATATACGCTGTCTTGCAATGAGCACTCATCTAGTTTTCACTGCAAATCCTATGTATGAGTGCTCATTGCAAGACAGCCTATATTACATGATATAGGCTGTAATGTGAACGGGGTATTACACTGTTTCAATTCAATGCACATAAAATTTTTAAACGTCGATACTAGTATAGTATACTCCACGGTATGTCTTTGCACTGCAAATGTACGCAAACATTAACTCATCAACGTATCTAGTAAATTCTTCAACTCCTCTGAAAATCAGTTATGAGCGATGCCAAAGTTCAGCACTCGAAAATTTTGCCTTAAATATTTATTTGCTCACCGTAATGAACGAAACAGTTCCTATTTGACATGAGTGGAGAACAAAAAAAAATAAAATCATCAAAGCTTGCCATGAGTTTGAGTGAAATTAACTATCAATTGTATCCATTATATACAGAACGGGCTATTTGTTTTTTTTTTTTTTTTTTATCTGAAAATGTCAATGAATGTTTGGACAATATTCAAGCCATACCTCGGAGTTCGCTCTTAGCTGTCGGCACAAGCAGCTGTGTGTTTTTGTCGGTGTGAGTCAGTTGAAGTATGTTTTTCGATAGCAACTCATTGTTGCAATTAGATTCAGCTTCACACATACCAGTGCGAAACCATATGTGGCAGGAAACGCGAATTTTGTGGAATCGCTGAGCGCGGATTCCACTCAGATGATCGCTACATATCGCATAGCGGAGGAAAAATCTAAGATCATCAAGTTCAAATCAGAAGATTCCATGCTTCTACACAACCGTGAGCAATAAACTTTTCATTATGCCGATGGGAAGGCAGCTGAGGTAAACCTGTCGCCTTCTGGGGGCACCATTCAATATGTGAGAGTGTACGACCTCCCACCAAAAGTCCCGGATAGCGATCTAGCATTGGTGCTGTGTGTAGCTCGGGAGAAGTTTACAGCTGCATTGGGCCTCGACATGCACACAGGTGTGAAGGGTCTACATATGAATATAATAAAGGAGACTCCCAACTCACTACATTTAATCCTGCTACGCAGCTGAAAAGAAAACGCAGTAATTTTTAAGGATTACTTTCAAAAGAAAATTTGACAGCAATAGGGAAGTGTCGTTTGTTAGATTTTGAAATCATAGCGAAGTGTCGTCAAATGTTCAAATCAAGAATTATCAGTTTTTATGTTATTAACATGCATCCAAAACGTCATTTTTACAACAAATGTTAAAATTACCTAACGGAATAATTAATCAGACCATTATTCCGCAAGGAAAGTGAAATTTATTTCAGAATGCGCCACCTACATGTCGATCACGATACAAATGTAATCCTTTACCGATTTCTTTTGAACTGCGTACTGGGTCAAGAAATGCTAAAGAAAAGTAATTTCTTTAGCATTCCGTGTCCTATCCCGTAGCACAGAGAACAGACGTCCAAGTTCGGTCATAAACTTGTGTAAAGTTAAGTGGAAACGTCGCCGTTACGTAGCACCAGCATCTCCTGATTTCCTTTATAAATTTATTACTTTCGACCAATTTGGCGCTGATCTGTATAACCTGTTGAAAATTGCCACTTGGCGCTACCAGCACTTAGTGTTTAGTGTAGGTTTTGCAACGCCAGCGCCATCATGTTTTCAAAGAGTTTTTTAAGTGGGGAAGTCGCCGTTAGTGGTGCTTAAGTCAAATAGGAATCTTTGCACAAGTTTTGTTCGAGCCTCAACGTCTGTTCTCTGTGCCCGTAGCACGTAAAAACGTCATTACTTTTCAGCTGCGTACCAGGCTTAAGGTGGAGAGGCATCGGATAAATTCCTGTCCCAAGCGGAAGGGTCGCAAGAAGCCAGTACAACAACGAATGGAAGAAGGAAATCAACAACTAAATGACCTGCACCGACGAACCGACATGCCACAGGAGCATTTCGTTTGTCCACACTTCTATTTGTGAAACAAACGATTTGAACTCTCAAACGGGCGATCAGATTTGTCAAAAGAGGTGATACACAAACCAAGGCAATGTAAATTATGTGTGTGTTCGTGTCCTTGCTCATCATAACACCGCGATTGGATGAGTAGATGGTAGTAGTGTTCAACGTATTTTAAATATGGCGTCTTGGGCAAGAATTTGAATGTAGGTGTCATGTCGGCACAGTCTATATTTGCAGCATAACTACATTCTGCGATTATTGGTATTCAACAACAACAATCCCAACATATGTATAATCACTGTTTTTACATTAAACATAGTTTTTTTTACAATGCTATTGCAGTATCATTTCTAATGTACCGATTGAAATCAACATTTCTTAAAATGGAATAATATTCCTTGAACGATGACCTTTGCTAAATTTTGTAATTTAAGTTGGGCAAATCGAAAAGTAGGAAGACCATGAATTTAAAAATCGATGAAAAGAAAAATTCTCATTTACAGAAAAGTAACTCTGCAATTTTTGACTTTACACATGTTGGGTAATACGCATGGCAAAAAAAAGCTAACCATAGGCAGTTGAAAACTTCTGAAACCATTAAGCACCGAGAATAACCGTGAGTGTAGGTTGCGCGTAATCTCATCCTTCCAGCCTAAGACGCTACGGGATTCCCATCTAGTATGTGAATCATCATTGAGTAGTGTGTGATTTTTAATCTTGTGAGAATGTATTCTAGAGAGTGTATAAAATACGCAATCCGTTATACGATTTCATTTCGCTCTATTATAGTGTATATGTAACAACAAGTAGCGTAAAAAGCTGTAAACATACATAAAATAAATAGAAAAGGTAACAAAGCCTCTGCTGTATCGATTTGTTTTCTTTTACTCTTTTCTTACTATTCTTACTGTTGCTTTATTAAGGTGCGATGCACTTCATTCCATGGTCGGCTGATTATGCTCAAATCATAAAAAGCGTTCTAGCGTAGCACTGCAACTCGTGACAACATTTCATACGATCACCACCACCATCGGTCGCTTCACTAATGACGGGTTTGAATAGTTTGAACACAATCCTGCCGCATTCCACCGAACAGGCATTGGAAGTTTCATGCTTACCAGTAATTTCACGTCGCAATTGTTGCCCCCTTGCCACCAACAATAGCGTCAGCAGCAATAAGTCGTAACTGATTCCATTGGTTCGGCTAGGTTCGTCGGCGACATTGCGATCTAAGGACCTCCTCCATCAATCGCCTTCGGGACCCTCGACAAAATGTCCTCTGACATCTAACGCCGAAGCTAGTTGCAGGATAATGTGAGCTAAGGATGGATGCTCCAACAGTTCCGCACTCGGTAGGGCAGGTTCACATCGTGGCCGCTGATGTCGACCCCGGAAGCCTCGGTGTAATCGCAAAGTTACATCACAAAATACAAACCGTAGTATGAGCGTACGCAAAAAGTCATCCCCGAAAAACTGTACATAGGATGAATCTGAAAAGGCCCACAATTTACAATAGTTCGGCTGAGATCCACTTCAACAACTCACCGATGTACCCTATACCCTGTTCTATTTCGTCCATCCGACATCTTGTTACTAACCGTGATGCTTCCGTCACAAATCGATCGACATAGTTTTGACACCGCTCCCAGTGGTGAATCGGGACATCACCAACATTGCAGATGTAGCACAGAGCAGTCATCGGAGAGTGAAGAAACAGAGTAAAGAGTGAACCATGATGTTGCAAATCTGAAATCAAGGAAAGGGTTACACTCATCAACAAAGATCACTGTGAGGTAAAATCTGGAACGCTCTACTTACTCATACCTTGGAAATTCGCAGGAACATCCTGGGGTGACATCAATATCACAAGTGGCTGACCAAAATACCTGTAAAGAAGGACATTTATGTAAATTTTTGCTAACAGATCGATCATACGATTTCACTCCGTATAGCAGAATGTTGGCATCTAGTATGGGGCCTAGGGTGTTTCATATTATCGATTTTACTCTAGCAAGCTCAATCGATTCTACATCAGATCCTGATGATTTTCCCAAAATGTGAGGTCATTTAGTTGCGAACTCATGCTGCACTGACCCTTTGGAGTTTATATGGAACTGACTTCTGTCAGAGCAACACTGCATCTTGCACTGAGACATAGTAGGCTGGATTTTCTTGCCATCTTCGCGTCAAGTTCACCAATGTTCATACCAAGAAGCCATGATGTTGCCTGCTGGGCAGTTTATGCAGCATGCCACGATAATATCATCTTGCTAATTAATTAATAACTAATTATCCAGACGTTCAACTAAAATTTGGCCTTAAGCAAAGTGTAGCTAAGAAAATTTTCTTTAAGTTCAAATAGCATGATTACCCGTAAATCATTATGGTGCAAGGCCAGGATGAGGAGAACAAAAAGTTCAGTTTTAGTGATTTCCATATAAACTTCAAAGGGCCAATAATGCAGGATGAATTCACAACGAAATGACCTCAAATTTGGGATAATCATCAGAACCTGATTTATAATCGATTGAGCTTGGTGGAGCAAAATCGATATTTTGAACCATCCTAATGGGGCCATCCATATACCACTTGAACGGAAAAAGCTTAATTTTTGTTTCGCCCCTCCTCCTCCGTGGACAAACATGGACATAGGCTGAACCCAACCCCTCTCCTGATGTTCAACGTGGTCTTTATTTTGACGCAGGACTACGTCTGTGATTTCTATATGAGGGTGCACTTTGTGAAAACCAAAAATGGAACATGTAACAAAATTATGAAAGATTTTGATCGTTAATAACTCAGCTGCCCCTAGACCAATTTCAATAATTTGATCACCAATCGATCAGATATATTTCTACGCATCTGTTAAATTTCAGACTTTATCATTTGTTCATTTGTTCATTTGTCATTATTGAAAATAGCACGAATATGCAACTGTTGCTTTTATAATTAAAATTATCACCGATTGCCTGCGAAAAATGATTTCCCTAACACAAATTTCAAAGTTGAACGCCATCCGATCTCACCAAACGGTGTTTATTGAATCACCTCGTGGTGAGTGATTGTGTTCTCCAGTACAAAACAAAAGGCTCCCAACGAGCAGCTAGCTACCAAGGCTGGCCTCAACCGCTGATTGGATTCAGTTCCAATCACCGTGTGTGGTGGTGTCCAGTCGTCGGCATCAGCTGCAGCAGCACCAGTGCTTTCGGCGCGTGGCGTTGAACATTGTTCTCTAGTACAAAACGAAAGGCTGCCTGCAAGCAGCAAGCTGCAGCCCACATGAGCATCCCTAGAAGGAGGAAGAAGCCGCACCGCTATTGATCGGAATCAGTAGCTCTTCGTGAGTTGCTGTGGGCCATCTATGTTAAGCGCGTCATACTAAAGAGTATAAACATAGAAAACCCCGTCAAATTCCCATTCATACACAAAACACAAGCTCCTGCTGCAGTTAACAAATAAGATTTATTATATAAAACCTCGTAGTCCTACGTCACCATTGCATACAACCCCATAGGGCTGTCCCTTGTAGTTTTTTTATTGTCAAGTTATTCCAAAAATATTCGTGTCTTGCCTAACATTTTCAACTTTTTTTTTCTTTATATTTCGAACTTTGAAAAGGCTAACTTTTGTGGTAAGACATGTTAATAAATCAGATAATTATAAGAAGAGTTCAATTATAGTTCTGAGAATTTTGAACTCATTAGAAAACTTAAGATGGTGACAAGTTCAAATGAACCAGGGATAACCCTAGAAGACTTCTATACCGAAATCTTAATAACTAAACCAAAGACTTCTACCAGTTTTCTATAAATTTCATTAAGATCATTTGAGCTCCCTATATTGTATTGAAACATTATTAAAAATTATAAAAGCTCGCCATCCAACTTTTAAGTCAGCATACCCATCAATTTTCATCAGGACCGTCTTGAAAGCTTCGGATCTTGAAAACTCGTTGAATATTTTGTCAAAACTAGCTTCAAAAGCCATCAATACCTGCGCTGAAACTCTGGAACGTCCTCCGATGTTCTGCAAACTCACTTATAAAAACTTCTAAGCACATTCCTGTAGTAACATTTACTTAGAAACCCACTCTAGCCCACTAGTGGAAATTCATGATAGTCGAAACAACATCTCCCCAGTCTTGTAGTTGAAGTGTACTGGACTTTAAGTTGAAGTTCCAGGAACTTCACAATGGTAGTTCACCCAAAACCACGAAAAGTTCATCAGTCCTGAGTCCTGATAGAACTATACTTTTAGCACAGACAAACAGACATAACATTCGCAAGTTGTTCTTCGAACAAGCATTTAACGGACAATTTAAAAGTATTGTAGTTGGTAGTACCACCGCCTGTGGCGCGCATAGTCAATTCCCTTGTGTTTGACGTTTACACACTACCGCCATCTGTTCAGTGTAGTGCCCACCACAGTGTATTCAACAGATTTTTTTTTTCTTTGGTTTGTTTTTTCCGTCGATCTTATTTTCCGTGCTGAGCACCAATGCTACCGACGTGCCAGGAAGGCAGCTCCCACACCTGGACCCTACCTATCGACCCATCAACTCATGAACCGGGGACCAACGGCTTTACTTCCCATCCGAAGGAAGGCGTGATCAGAGATGTTATGCCTCAGAACATCCCGGCGGCGCCGACGGGGATTGAACCCAGGTCTGCTGGGGTGAGACGTAATCACGCTTACCACTACACCACCGGCGCCGTTATATTCAACAGATGGCGGTAATGTTTTAGCGACGATGTTTTACAGTGAGAAATATTCAAGGTGTTATGTCTGTTTGTCGGTGATTTTAGTCTTATAGTGCTTTAAAATTTTCAGAATCGTCCCTAAAACCCGACTAGGCTCAACTTTGAAATCTTGTATATGCTTATGCACAGTGTTGGGAAAATATCAAAAAATCAAATCTCACCAATGCCCAAGATCACGCCTGATTTTCGTAGACAAAAATAAACAAGCATACAGCTGCGGTCTAGGCTGCGGTTGATTTTGCAAGCTGTGATATCGCAGCTCGGAATATCAAGCTAACAAAACTCACCAGCTGCAAATCTCAACAAACTGTGGTGAGATTGAGTTTAAAGCTGGGTTTAGACAGAGCAAGTTAATTGATCAAGTCAGCTGAATTCAACTGACTTGAACGCGAATTGAACGTGTAAACCATGCCATTCAACTAACTTGATCAACTCAGTTGAATTGAAAAAAAGTTGAACCAGGGTCAACTTTTCAAGCCAGTTGAATTCAACTGAGTTGATCATTTGACTTGCCTAGTCTAAACCCAGCTTAGACTAGTTTTTGCTTTACATCCGAACGCAACCGACACTTCCATAACGGCTGGCAGCAGTCACTTCGCGTCTACCATCGGTGAGCAGTAAAAAGGGATAGCAAACTATACTTTCTCTTTCTAAGAAAACGATGTGCAACGGAATCATTTTTGTGTCTAGTCAACTGCACGTTGTGAATAGTCTCGCAATATCAAAGCTCGATTACTTTTTCAAAGGGACGTATCAGCTTTTGTAAACAATGCATTTGATCGCCGATTTTGCGTAACTGGTAGCTCACACACGCTTACTAACACCACTAGCAGGTAGGAGAAAATTTTCCCTATCTGATGGTAGCATTAGCATGCGTGGGCGAGCTACCAGTTACGCCAAATCGACGATCAAATGCATTGTTTTCAAAAGCTGATACATCCCTTTGAAAAAGTTATCGAGAAAGGAGCTTGTAAAATCAATATCAAGCATGATATTTTCTTCTTAATTATATTTTCTTAATCGACTTTGACTTTGAATTAACTTTGATTGCTTTAACTGAATATTTTTATAAGAGCACTTTTATTTATTATTATTATTATTATAGTCCATCTGACTTGATAGTCTCAATGAAACACTTAAATCTAAATGTAGTCACTCATTAAAAATTTAAAAATGGCCAACAGCAAACGATGACGATATCTCGCGCGAGAGCGGAAAATATAATTTGATGGATGATTTTGCCAACACTGCTTATGCAAGTCCACTTGATCCGCCATGATGTCTCCTGAACCTGTTGATAAAGTCCCCCAGACTCTTTCTAAAAGTTCCTTAGGTCTACCATCTAGCATAACTGGACTTAATTAAACAAAAAAAATTAGATCCATTTGTCAAAAACGAAATCGACAGCTCCAAAACAAAAACCAAAACTCAACCGTATTTACTTTACTGGAAGCAGCTGCATCATATCCGGAGTTTTATGAGAATTGTAGGTTTCTCAACATGAGAATTTATTAGAAGATATACACTCAGGTCTTTTTTTACACGGGGGATACGTACCGTGTAAAAAAAACCTACGAGATTTTGATTTTTCACATGCTTAAATGTTTTAAAAAAATCGGATTTTGATGCCATTTGTAATTATAGCATGCTATGGTCCATATAGACATATTTAAAAAAATTCTGTATTTACACCAAAAATTGTGATTTTTTTTTTCTAAATATGTCATTCGATTACCTATAGCTTGAAACGGATAATGTGATTGGAATCAACTCGATAGGTTGTATCGTTGTCGAGAAATCATTAAAAACGTACCGTGTAAATCGCGAGAAACCGTGTAAAAATAACCGTGTAAAAAAAAACCGCGTGAAAAAAACCGTGTAAAAAAAGACTTCAGCGTACAATATTGGACCCTCTTCATATATGATCGCCAATGATAGGGCTTTACCTCAACACTGATTCTTTACACTTGCCCAAGGGCAGTCGGAATCTTTCCGAAAATGGTTAGTACTGGGCACTAGATACAACCTCCAATGATCATGTTTTCAAGAATTTTTATGTGATTTGATATACTGCGTGATATATTTAGACTCAAAGCAGATTATGATCATTTACCAGGAGAACCCGAATCACATTTATTTATTTTTGATTGCCTGTATATTTTTTTAATTGAAGCACCAGTGAAGCACATCCTTTGAATCATTTTCAATGGAAGCTATTTAAAGAGGAAACAGTTAAAAATAGCATTATTTCTGGAATAATTCTACACAGCTAAAAAAAAGTAGTGTAAATTTCCGTTACTATGATGCACATAAATGGAGCGTCATATATCATACAAGTTTAGATTATAGATCGTGTAAATTTATGAGACATGTCATGTAATATCCCATATATTGTATGCAACTGTCCACTTTTGTTTGCAACATTTCTTGCAAGTTGCTAGTTTACGTGAAAAGGAAGTTTACATGTATGAATGTTTGCATGCATGGATGTTTACATCGCCAGTAAAATTCAGAATTTTTTGGTGTGTAAGTACAACATTCCCGGGAAATTAACTCTGTGAAGAACTATCAATAAATTATAAATTAAAATAAATTTCACATGGCAGTTGTACAGAAGTTCATAATTGATTTTCAGAGTTGGTTGGAACTTCTAACATGAAGCTTTAGTGTGATAATTTATTAGCTAGTGAATGATCTTTAGAAGAAGGTAGTTGGATAGTTCCGTTACAGTACGGCAATATGAAAATTGAATAGAAGTTTGAAAATGAGCGAAGGGCCATTAATGTGACAGTTTTTGAAGTCAGACGCACATCTTTTGCCTAACCCGTACGATGTACGCGGAGACTTGAAGTATGTCTTCAAGTCTACAGGCAAAAGATGTGCGTCCTCCTTCTGCTCATAACTGACTGCGGCTGTGGAATAGTTCTAGCGACGTTTCATCACTACCTAAAGCCCCACGTTTGCGAGAGCATTTCCAGTCAATGGTGTGTTATAATGCAATTCTTCTTTACCCAACTATTGTGTTGCTCCTCTCGTCATGACCAACGTGGTCAACTCAGAGAGAAAGCAGTAGGGTGGTTGAAAATCGCTAACTTCGCGTATGAAGTAACATAAAAACACTTTGAATGTCATAATTGATTTTTCGTCGGCTAAAATCATCCCATCACGTTAAATACTAAAAAAAACATTAAATTCCAAAATCACCATGATTTAAAAGTAAACACTTTTTCCCTGCATTTTGATACTTCTACACAAAATTTTAATCGGGGATCTTGAATATAAAAACATGTCATCGATATTTTTCAAGCAAAACAAACAAAAGGATTAAATCGATTCCCATTCTGTGCATATAAAAATGTAAAAGTTGACCCAAATTGTGTTTAAAAAGAAATTTAATATTTACTTCAAGTCTATAAACCTAGGCCCGATACGCGATATTGTTTTTCGAAATAAGTTTTTATCTTTTATATTTTACTAGCTGAGTGCCCGGCCTTGCTCGGGATTCAATATAAGCTTGAGTGTATGCGCCGGCTAAAAAAAAGCATGCTATATTGTACGTAGACACTCCCCCCCCCCCTCCCCCTCTTATCTAAGGGGCTACCACCTATGAACATCTTCTTATACCTCCACATGCCAAATTTGGTTCCATTTGCTTGATGAAATTTCTGTTTCATTTGTATGTGTGCCCCCCCCCCCATGTGTATGTGTATCGAACCATAATAAGAACCTTTCCCGGCCCCAAAAACCCCTGTATACCAATTTTCACGCTGGTCGGTTCAGTAGTTTCTGAGTCTATAAGGGTCAGACAGACAGAAATTCATTTTTATATATATAGGGTAGAGCACTACTTCGGCCTAATCGCCCATTTTGGGCCTATCGAGCAGAAAACTTCAAATAAATCCATGATTTCAGAGTTAACAAGTCAATTATGCGTTTGGTACGATACTTTAGTTAATAAGCTACCGAACGAAGTCAATGAGAACGCGTGGCATGAAAGTTTTCATCCATTATTCCCAAAAACAAAAGAAGCGCTCCGACCGAATCAATTTTTATCTTCATACGATAGGCCGAAGTGAATTCATTGGCGTTTCAATTGCGTTTCAATGCGTTAGGCCGAGTTTAAAATCCGTAGGCCGAGTTTGGCGTCAAGAAGCAGTGTTGGACTTTTGACACTATCTCAACGATTGGTTTCTCGTTTTCAAATCTTATGGTACGTACGGAAAGGCAAGTAAATTTGGAAGCCATCAGTAATAATAAAATTCCGTTTGGTGCTAAACTGATCTAGATTAAGAAAGACTAAGTGCGTGTTACGCTTAATAGGCCGGAAATGGGGTATTTAACCCTAGATTTGATTTGATTTTAACCGAAAAATATCACTTTTTCTAAGACCAACAACTCGAAGTCGGACAAAATCGGACAAACCAAACTTAAGATTGCACTCGAACAATATGCAACACTTTAAAATCTTGATTTTACTGGTGATGTAAACATCCATTCATGCAAACATTCATGCATGTAAACTTCATTTTCACGTAAACTAGCAGCTTGCAAGAAATGTTGCAAACAAAGGTGGAAAGTTGAATACAATATATGGAATATTGCATGACATGTCTCATAAATTTACACGATTTATAATGTAAATTTGTATGATTTATGACGCTCCATTTATGTGCATCATAGTAACGGAAATGTACACTACTCTTTTTTAGCTGTGTGGGTAAAAATTTATGAAATTTTGATTAAAACTAGTTTAGACTGTGTACCGTGTGGTAAAATCGCTCAAAGAGACCCAGCGGCGAGCTGACAGCGGAAGAAAAGCGAAGACTACCGACCCTGTGAACGCAAGGAAGGTGAGGGATTACTTCAAGCGCAATCCGAACCTTTCGATTCGGGACGTGGCAAAGAAGGTCAATTCTTCCGTCTGGTTCGTCCAGCAGACAATGAAGCGGGTCGGACTTCATGTCTTCAAGGTAAGGAAGGCGCCTAACCGAACCGATAAACCAAATACGGTGGCCAAATCCCGCGTCAGGAAGCTGTACCGCGAGTGGTTGGTGCAGCCAAAATGCATCGTAATGGACGACGAGACGTACATTAAAGCGGACGCCAAACAGATCCCCGGCCTGGAGTTTTTCGTCGGCAAGTCCCGTCTGGATGTTCCACAGAAGTTCCGGGAGAAGAAGGTCTACAAATTAGCCAAGAAGTACTTAGTGTGGCATGTGATCTGTGAGTGCGGAAAATGCAGCAAGCCGTACATAACGACCGGCACCATCAACGGCCAAATATATAAAGAAGAATACCTCCAGAATTTTGAAGTTTTTTTTTCCTTGATTTGTTTTCCGTTGATTTTTTTTCCGTACTGTGTACCAATGCTATCGACGCCCGGAAGGCAGCTCTACCCCTGGACCCTACCTTTCGACCCATCAACTCATGGCCCGGGGAGATTAACGGCTTTACTTCCGAAGGAAGGCGTGATTAGAGATTTTTAATTAATAGCTGTAGTACATCTGATTAATTACATCTAGAACAGTAAGTTGAGAGTCGGCAAAACGCTCGCTACAGAAGCGAAACAAGTTTAAAAGAATAAGAAGAAGAAGAAGTAACTATTGACAGAAGCGACTACCATCGGTTTATTTTGAATGATGCCAACCGATTTAGATGCGACCATAACCATTCTTATTTACTAACCTTGGTATGTGCTGGAATACAAACGAGTTGTCAGAATCGATTATTATAAACAGTGGTCTTCGCGTGTATGGATACAAGTCTCCCGGGTAGAGACAATGTGGTTCTTTATAACCAGAGCTAGACTTTCCCCTCACTGCCAGCCCACCGTCAACGGCATCGCGTTTAACGCTTGTCGCCAGTCCTCCTAACTCGTAACCATCTACAAGTAGAAAAATAGATCTCTTTCACAACCGAATCTAATCAACCGTGTACTGCAATGCAATAATCTTACAATCCTGTGGATGCTTCGTAGTCGAGAAACATCCATCAGCTGACATGTATAGCAGAAGAGCTCCACCAGGTGGTAGTTCTTTGAATCCACTCGATAGAAACACCATGAGTTGACTGAGCGATGGTTTATACAGCAGATATTTATGTGGGTTATCACGCATTCCTCGACGATCGCCATTTTCCACGTATCCTACAAAGAACCATGCAATATTGAATATAATCTTGTGTTAAATGAAACAACTTTACCTTTGGACCCCGGTACTCCATATGGTGGCATCCTACTGGCTGCAGGACTGGCATCATGCGGTCCACCATGTGTAACCATTGGATGACCCGCTAGGGGATGCATCGATTCGGTTGGTTCTCGTTCTAATGTTTGCAGCATTCTGCAGTCGTGAACAAATCGTGAGTTAGGGTGAAATAATCACTTGCCACAATCGTATGATGACCCTGTCAACCTACCTAAACATATCCATCGTTAGCTCTGAGAACTTGGCTTGTTCGCAGGCGGACCCCACGATCAGTATCTCCTGTAGACTGAGCGTCATGTGCGGCGTCCTCTCGCAGGGGGGCGTCGTCAGTGGACTTAACCTAGAACCAGAACCACTATCGGTCAACACACGTGGAGGCACTCTATTCTACAACGAAAGACGAATGGCCCGTGCTTTCGAATATCGGTGAACTCCATGGTGTATGATGGTGTGAATGTCTGCGTTTGTGTGTCTGTGTTTGTGTGAATTACTATGAGTATGAAAAGATGCTTGCAGCTATTGAATGGGTGCATGAGCGTTGCAATCATGAAATAGTGAGACAGTGAAGGAAAAAGATGAGCATTTATGACACAAGGCAATCAGGCTTTATTCGATGATTTACATTTCTTGCGATTATTACGTTTTATTTTGAACGCGAAGTAGAAATCTTAGAAATCTTGGCAAGGATCACATCGACTAGTGTCATTTTTTTTTTTGTTATTATTAAAAAGGAATAAAGAACTTAAAATGACAAATTCTGATTAAGCAGGGACCATTTTCTGAAGCGTTTAGAGTATATTGACATGCATCTTTTGTAGAAAAAATCTAAACTCATCATGATTTTGGTGATGTTCAATTTTGAATGAAATGATTGTACAACTAACCATTGCCACATGTACCTTCCTAATCCTAAAATCAACTCCAATCGATGTTACAGAGAATCAAAACTTAAAAGAGCTACTAACAACCCGGCATGAAGCTACCCAAGTAACAATCCAGTAACCATTTAGCATCCACTCTGATTTATGATGGTTTTATAACGACAATGAACAATCCAATTAGTTTAAATATAGCATTTCAAAGTGTAAAACATTCCTGCTTAGTAATTCAGCTTTTTGTTGTTGTAAAAACCTTTTATAGTCTTGCAAGAAAGTCAAAAACTGTCTTGTTTTAAAAATAAATTTAAAACAGTTATCAATCCCTCCTTAAAACTGTTCTGTAATTCAAGCATAAACGTCATTAGCAATTGTTTATTAATGTCTTGATAAAATACTTTATAAACGTGTTCTATCATTATAAAAGCAACCATAAAATCATTTGGTTTGGCATTAGAGCAAAAAGCATTTATTGTTGCTTTTTAGGCTTTTTAAAGTGCATCATTAACTCCCCAATTACTCTGTTTACAAATTGAGCTTAAAAGATGGTTCCTCATAATTAATAAATGCCAATTTTATGACAAGGAAATCTCATAGAATAGACGAAGTAGGATGATTTCGATTTCAGAAAAATTTACTTCCTTAGAAGAATCAGCACACCATCAACGACTGACCATCTGGCTGAGAAGAGTAAACTGAGCGGTGCCATAAAACATTGTCGAAAGTTAAAACACATACCAGCCTTCTCCAGATCTTACGAAGTATCAACCGACAGCAAACCACTGAAACTGTTCGTAAGCGGAGATTAGCTGGTTTCCGATCCATAGCAGCGATTTTAGAATCAAATCTTCGAAAATTTCATTCAAGCGTACATCCCTGCATCGTTGGATGGTGCACTTCTGTAACCATCCGGAAGAAGGGGATCTTTTTCGGGAACGATTGCACTTCCAGCTGTTCGACATGCGAAATGTTGTAAAACAGTATCGCAAACTATCTGAGTAACTGCTTCCAATCCATCGGGAGAAAACCGCCTGGAAGAATCCTGGATCTCACACCGCAACTATCGAAAGATAAACAAACTTTGACGTTTAACTTTTTGCAGGCAACTTTGCCTCCATAAATGCTGCCATAAATCAGAACGGGTTAGGATCAAGCAAAATGGCTTTAGATAAATACAATTCAGCCTGCAAGTTTTCTTCATAAAAGCCATTTTAAACCCTTATTAATTTGTCAAGGAATTCTTGAAAGCAAAACAACTTTTTCACAAATGACCCATGAAAATCAACTTTTATGCCACCGCCATGTTGCAATTAGTTTGCTTGTTTTTTACAATCTTCGATTTTCAATCAATATTTTCTTAGATATAACTATATTTTGGTAAATTTAGCAATGAGCAAACATTTAAATGCGAAAATAATAAAAAGAAAGTCTCGGCCAAGCTCGATCTGAAGAATATATTTTTTTCTATGTTAAATAATTAGTCAAATCGACGTTTTACGAGGGTGGACTTAATTTTTTCGATGTTTTCACGTACATTTCACATAAAATTTAATATGGCACTTAAAACAAGGCCACTTAATGAGAACTATTGTAATAAATTTGGATATTCAACAAGATTTTTATACCATCAGTTTCTATTTTCATTATTTTGATAAGATCGGATTCATAAATCCTTTTCTATCTTGATTGATGCTTTCCTAGTGGATTCAGCATGCGGCTAGGGGACATGGCTCGGAAAGGGTTTTTATTGTTGCTAAATAGCTTTTATTGTAGCTTGAAATGGTTATCAATGCGTTCGTCATACAACCTTTTGCAGTAGATCAATCTTGAAGAGCTTCGAGAATACACCCTTCAGAACCTTCTCCAGGGTGGGCCAACTAGACATATTCTAGTCTTAATGAGGTTTTGGTGGATGCATTAATGACAAAATAGCCTTGACCAGGGTTTTATGAATGTTGTTTTATAGTTGCTTTGTAGTATTTCATAAAACTTAAAATGTTACTTGGGTATTGTCCTCACTTTCTACGAATCAGACGATGATAACTAACATTGTTAGTCTAACAACCCGCTAGAACATAGGATTTCAACTATACAGAAAACGAGTCACCGTTTCGAGCATCAGTACGAGTACTCCAAACAACGCTAGTTCCAGGTAACTTGGAGCTTCTGATAAATTTAGGAGTCCAAGCAGTGGTTCTCCGGTGAGACAAGGAGTTAAAGAAGACATCGCCAGTCAGTAGTTGTTCGTAAAAAATATATTAACACAGAAGAAGGTGGAGCGAAACAATCGACATATAACTAGAAAAAAAGACCCTGCAATTAGAACAAAAGGAGTGTACAACTTAAATCTTTTCTGCAACCGAGTACCAATAACCGACGCCCTATATACCGAATCCATCAACACATGGGCCAACTTTACTACCCTTCCGAAGTAACACGTGGCCAGTGATAATTCATTTTAGAAAATCCTGAATACCTCGTTCACCACCGACCGGTGCCATCAATATCATCAGCAGACAGTCAAACATTCGCCTTTGTTTTAGTGGATGATATCGGTATTATCGGGATGAATAAATACCTGTAAGCAGTGTTCCGAAATCTCGTGAGTATTATCATCATAGATGACAATCACGTGGAAAAACATTTAAAAAAAATTAATATCACTACATTTACAACTGCTCTATTTCTACGAAAATTGTGATTATGGATAAAACATATTTGCAAAACAATGTATTTCAACCATAATAGAAGAAGTGCACTGCCACTCATTGTAGTAAGACAGTGATAATGAGTTTTCCTAACACCAGCTATAAGTAGAATACAGATATTTCAAGCTGAACAATGCATTAGGTCCTCAGTAACATTGACAGATTCTTTTCGCCATGTTAAGATTTTCCCAGCTAATTTCTGCACACTAATCGATCAAATAAGCTATTATCTAGTATTAACGAGACACCCGGCAAGAAACGATTCAATACCCAAAACGAAAGAAAAAATCGATGAAGATATTCGATCCATGTTACTTAGGACCTAATGCACTGTTCAGCTTCATTTGATCATAGAGCCATACAGCGGTGCCAGATATACAGATATGTCTGTATTTGTACAGATATTTGAAGTTTCGTACATACCCAATACAGACTACAGACATTATACAGATATTTGAAACTTAATAAAGATTTTGTACAGATTTTTACCAATTCGTTCTTGAAATTAAACATAAAATAAACAAAATTACTATCTAAATTTGAACATCTTCAAGCAATTATTGTCTTGAAACCACACACTGGTTGTCATAAGAGCAGGTGGTGAAACGGATGCTACAAAGACATCCAGCTCTCAGAGTATACTTAAATACTTTTACTTTACTTTTAAGTATACTTTTATACTAATTCGAATGTGGACTTGATGCTGAGAAGATGAAAGAAATCAGCGGTATCTTGGAGAACCCCATGACGGAGCTTTGCTTGAGGTTTTTGAACAAACTAAACCACTTGTTCCAATCGGAAGCGCTTTAAATATTCCGACTCAATACTGAACTAGTTCGTTTGCTCAAGGAAATCCTTGATAATTTTATGAGAATAGACTACATTGCGAAGCTTGAAGACCTGGGTTCGTTAATTTTGCAACCCAGAAACTACTGTGGAAAAGGTTTATATGGGTACTGGCATACAAAAACATATGGATGATAGTTGAAGATGCTAATTTCAAATAACAGACTGTAGTGGTAATTTTTATACGATAGATGGATATGATTCTCGTAAACCATTGCCAGGTTTTTGAGGTAGGTCATTGACTCAAAAAATCTCAAAAATAAAACGCACCCCTCAATGTGCTTAGTTTTGCAGATGTTCCCAAATGTTATCAACGAATTCGAAATGCAAATGGTAGACGATAAATTCCGCGAGGTGAGAAACATGGATTTGCCAATGGATACTAATTTTGATGATGGTGTTGAATTTTGGGGAGTGATGCTGGCCACCAAACGGGTGAATGGCGAAATGGCGGGTGAATTGTGCCAACCCTATTTACTTTGCCACACTCCTCAGCTGCAGTTGAAAGGATTTTTTCGTCGATCACCCTAAACAAAACTAAACTGCGTAACAGGATAAATGCAGGGAATCCTAGCGTCCAAGTAATATGGAAAAGCCATCAAAATAAAAAAGGAATCACTGAAATCATGAAAACAGCTTTTCGACTATTTTCAAGCAACATGGATGATAAGACTAAATAATAATATCTGTTCGGTAAGTTCTGATCATTTCTCATTTATTTTTATTAGAAATAATAGATTTTTCCTTCTTCTAGCCTTACCCACATGCCTATGTTCCTTTTTTACGTTGTCACTTAATTCCGATGGTTCGGTACATGGACCTTGAACGGGATTTTTATTTTTTTTAATCTCGTGATTTTAAACAGCAAAATTCTTTTTAAGTGATGAATTTGTATTTTTTTGCACTAAGAATAAAAATATAAAAAA